TGGGTGGAGACCAGGATGGCTCCTGGCTTTGGCCTGGCCCAGCCCTGGCTGTTACAAGCATTTAGGCAGTGAACCAGCATATGGAAGATAACACTTCCTCTCTCAGTATCAGTCTGCCTTCCAAATTAGTTAACTAATTTACCTTTAAAACAAACAAACAAACAAAAAAAAACAAAAAAAAAGTACACCTAGGCATATCATATTTGAAATGCAGGAAATCAAAGAATCTTGGGAAAAAACTGGACCAACAATGTGGCTTAGTAGGCTAGCCTCTGCCTGTGTCGCTGGCATCCCATATGGGCACCAATTCGAGTCCTGGCTGCTCCACTTCCTATCCAGCTCCCTGCCAATGGCCTGGGAAGGCAGTAGAAGATGGCTCAAGTGCTTGGGTCCCTGCACCCACACGGGAGACCTGGGAGAAGCTCCCGGCTCCTGGCTTTGGATAAGCCTAGCTCTGGCCATTGCACCCATTTGGGGAGTGAACCAACAGATGGAAGATCTCTTTTTCTCTGTCTCTCCCTCTTTCTTTAATTCTGCCTCTCAAATATTTTTAAAAACTTATAGAGAAGCAAAGATAAGAATTACTCACAACTACTCACAAACCATGCAAGCAAATACAGGCTAGAGTGAAATGTTCCGAAATGAGAGGGGAAAAAAAAAAAAAAAACATAGCCAAGAATTCTGTCCCTTGTGAAATTATCCCTCAACGATGAGAATTCTGGGGTGACAACAGAGCAGGAAGCACTACATATCTGTCTCCCCGCCTAGACAACAAAGCACTGGCAGAATGATTTGCTAAGTATTTTGGAACTCTTCCACGTAGTAAAGGCTTGCAACTCCAGGGGAAGGTTTGGGTGGTACCCGGTAGTTAGTTTCGGTCAGTTTCAGCTCTTCACTCAACCCTCACTGTTCATCCTGCTCTCCTGCAAGCCCACAGCGTGCAGCCATGCATTTGTTCCAGGAACAGCTTATGTGGCTGAAAACTTCACGGTGTGATGAAAGACATGAACATAAATATCCAATAACTCCAAGTAGGATGAAATCAGAGACCCACATGCATCTTGAGAGCAGCAAGGCAGCAACGGCTCGTTACAGACAAGGGCTATACCATACAGTGATCAGCAGTTTTCTCATCAGAATTTTATTGGAGGTCGGAGAGCAGAGGCCGATGTGTTCAAAGGCTGAAAAGAACACAGCCGAGGTCACAGCAAGATAAGCTGTGGCTGGCTGTGACACCAACATCCCGTATGGCTACTGGCTCAAGTCCCAGCTGCTCCAGCTCCCTGCTAATGCACCTGGGAAAGTGGCAGAAGATGGCCCAAATGCTTGGGCCCCTTTCACCCAGGTGTGAGAACCAGATGAAGCTCCCAGCTCCTGGCTTCAGCCTGGCCCAGCCCCAGCCATTGCAGCCATTTGAGGAATGAACCAAAGGATGGAAGATCTCTCTCTCTCTCTCTCTCTCTCTCTCTCTCTCTGTGTGTCTATATATCTTACAAAATATAAATGAATACATCTTTTTTAAAAAATCAAATCAAATAAATAAATCTTAAAAAAAAGAAAAACCCCAGGAGCCCAATAAACAGCAAAACTGACCTTCAGAAATAAGTGAGACTTCGACACAATCCTAGAAAAACACAAGGTGAGTATTATCTCTAGAGCGCTCTCCAGGTACTCAAGGGCATCCTGAGAGTGGAATGAAAGGACGCTAGACAGCAACTTGAAGCCGTATAGAGAAATAACTTGGAAAAGGCAAAGGAACAGTAATAAAAGCTACTATTAATGTAACAATGCTAAGTAAGACCACTTTTTCTTTTCTATATGACTTCAGTGGCTAATGCACTTTAAAAAAAAAGTGCATCTTAGTCCAGGGAGCTGGCATTGTGGTACAGCAGGGTAAGCTGCTGCTTGCGATGCCAGCATCCCATGTCAGAGATCTTGTTTGAGTCTGCCAGTTGAGGCTGCTTTGCTTCTGATCCAGCTCCCTGCTATGGCACTTGGGAAGGCAGGGAAAAATGGGCCCAGTGCTTGGGCCTCTGCCACCCACACGGGAGACCCAGATCGAGGTCCAGGCTCCTGGCTTTGGCTTGGCTCAGGCCTGGCCTGGCCATTGCAGCCATTTGGGGGAGTAAACCAGCAAACAGAAAATATATTCATTCTTTCATTCTCTCATTCTCTCTCTCCTTCCTTCCCTTCTTCCCCATGTCACTCTTTCAAATAAATAAATCTTAAAAAAAGAATTGTGAATGTGAAGGTTAGTGTTATTGTAATATCGCATGTCTACATAACTTAAGTCTAATGCACTTTACAGTTATTTATGTTTTGGACACAGAATGTGCAGATGTAACTTCTGTCCCAGGAAGAGAATGCAACTGTTTATGAGTAGAGGTTAAGCTGATAAAAATTCAAGTTAGAACATGATAGCTTCTGAAAGTTAATCTCTGTAGTAACCACAAAGAAAATAGTTTAGAATATATATGAAATTAAAACCTTTCACAAGAAAAATAAACTAAGCACAAAAGCCACTCATAGAAGTAGTCAAAAATGATGGGGACAAGGTAGAATGGTGGTTGCGGGGGGCTGGGATGAGTAAGGGGAATGAAGCGTTCTTGTTTAATGAGTATAGAGTTTCAGTTTTGCAAGATAAACCCTCTGGAGGTGGACAGTGGTGATGGTTGAGCAATAATATGAATACCACTGAACTGTGCAGATAAGTGGTTAAAATAGTCAATCTTATCAGCTATGTATTTTACAATGGAAAATGGAAGAATATTGAAAGACAGGAGCAGGCATTTGGCCAAGCCAAAAGAGGCCAGGTAGGGCACCCATGTCCCACAGCCTCCCCAGCTCCAGCCCCTGACTCCAACTCCCTGCCAATGCAGACGCTGGAAGGCAGTGGTGACGGCTCAAGTGTGGGAGAGAGACTCAGATGGACTCATTCGCTCCCAACTGCAGCCACTCCAGCCACTGAGGGAGGGCATTTGGGTGATGAAGAACCAATAAATGGGTGGCCGGTGCTGTGGTGGAGCAGATAAAGCCGCCACCTTCAACGCCAGCATCCCATATGGGCAGCAGGTCAAGTCCCAGCTGCTGCACTTCTGATCCAGCTCCCTGCTAACACGCCTGGGAAAACAGCATAAGATGGCCCAAGCATCTGGGCCTCTGCACCCATGTGGGAGACCAGATGAAGCTGCAGCCACCTGGCTTCGGCCGGGTCCAGCCCTGGTTGATGCAGCCATATGGGGAGTGGACCAGTGGATGGAAGATCTCTCTCTGCTTCTCAGTAACTCTGCCTTTCAAATAAATAAATTAATCCTTAAAAAAAAAAAAAAAGAACCAGTAAATTGGAGCTCTGTCTGTCTGTATATCTGTCTCTGTCTCAATGCCTCTCAAATAAGAGCAGGGTTTTTGTTTAAGTGAAAGACAAAGACTTTCTCAGACTAACAAAAACAGAATGAATTTACTGCTGGCACACTTGCCTTACAAAACAATGTTAAAAGGAATTCTTCAGAGAAGGAAAAGGACATGTAAATTTGTATCTACAGAAAGAGAAAGAAGATCCGAGAAGAAGTAAGTGAAGGTAAAGTGACAACTTTTATTCTTATTCTTTATGGATCTAACAGGTAACAGTTTGGTCCCTAATAATAACACCAATTTATTCAATGATGATAGCTTCTGTAAAAAGTGAAATGAATGGCAGCAATCCTGGGAGGCACAGGAGGGAGGGATTAGAAGCGTTTAGTAATAGAAGGTTCCTGCATTACTTCTGAAGTGGTGTAGTGTTATTTGAAAGTAGACTTGGATTAGTGGCAAATGTCTATTGCAAACTCTTACAGCAACTGCAGAACAGTTAAAAAAAAAAAAAACAGAACTGCTATGCTAAGGAAGGAGAGAACAATAGAACCGTATAAAATGCTCCGATGAAACTGCAAAAGGCAGAAGAAGTGGAAGACAAAAAGAACAAGGGCAAGAAATCTACCACAGTAACAAAGTATAGAGGTATCAATCCAACTATATCCATAATCACTTTAAATGTCAAGGGCCTAAAAATACCAGCTTAAAGACAGATGAGGTCATTCAAAACTCAAACCTTAGATACAAGTTGTCTACAGGAATTCCACTCTAAAGACACGTACATTTTAAAAGTACAGGCAGGCATTGTGGCACGGTGGGCTACCATCACTTGTGATGCTGACAATCCACATCAGAGGACCGCTTCAGGTCCTGGCTACTCCACTTCCATTTCAGCTTCTTACCAACGTGCCTGGGAAGGCAGCAGATGATGACCCGAGCAGCTGGGTCTCTGCCACCCACAGAGGAGACCAGAATGGAGTCCCAGGACGCTGCCTTTGGCCTGGTCCTGGGCCAGCTATTGCAGTCATTTGGGGAGTAAGTCAGCAGATGGAAGCTCTCTCTTTCCCTGTCTCTTCCTCTCTGTCACTCTTCCTTTCAAATAAATATATAAATCTTTTTTTTAAAGTAAAGAAATGGAGAAAGACATAGTGTACTGTTTGATCTCTATGATGATTTCAGACAGTTAATTATAGAGCAAGAAAAATTATAAGGGATAAAGAAGGCCATTATATAATTAGAAAGGAATAAATTCTCCCCTAAGACATAATAATCCTTACGGTGTGAGGGGGAAAAGATGAATGCATTATCACAGTTTGAGATTTGAATACCTTAGATCAGATATGGACAGATATGGAAGGCATCAAGCAATTCGATATAACAGACACCTGTCAACTAATTCCTCCAACAGCACAACACAACACACATGGTTGTCAAGCTCACATGGTACATTCACCAAAATATACCACATTCTGGTCCACGGAGCACACTGAACAAATGCACCACATTCTGAGACACGGAGCACACCTGAACAAATGTACCACCTTCTGCCCCACGGAGCACACCTGGACAAATGTACCACATTCTGAGACACGGAGCACACCTGGACAAATGTACCACATTCTGAGACACGGAGCACACCTGAACAAATGTACCACCGTCTGCCCCACGGAGCACACCTGAACAAATGTACCACATTCTGAGACACGGAGCACACCTGAACAAATGTACCACATTCTGGCCCACGGAGCACACCTGAACAAATGTACCACATTCTGAGACACGGAGCACACCTGAACAAATGTACCACCTTCTGCCCCACGGAGCACACCTGAACAAATGTACCACATTCTGAGACACGGAGCACACCTGGACAAATGTACCACATTCTGAGACACGGAGCACACCTGAACAAATGTACCACCTTCTGCCCCACGGAGCACACCTGAACAAATGTACCACCTTCTGCCCCACGGAGCACACCTGAACAAATGTACCACATTCTGAGACACGGAGCACACCTGAACAAATGTACCACCTTCTGCCCCACAGAGCACACCTGGACAAATGTACCACATTCTGAGACACGGAGCACACTGAACAAATGCACCACATTCTGAGACACGGAGCACACCTGAACAAATGTACCACCTTCTGCCCCACGGAGCACACCTGAACAAATGTACCACATTCTGAGACACGGAGCACACCTGAACAAATGTACCACATTCTGAGACACGGAGCACACCTGAACAAATGTACCACCTTCTGCCCCACGGAGCACACCTGAACAAATGTACCACCTTCTGAGACACGGAGCACACCTGAACAAATGCACCACCTTCTGCCCCACGGAGCACACCTGAACAAATGTACCACATTCTGAGACATGGAGCACACCTGAACAAATGTACCACATTCTGAGACACGGAGCACACCTGAACAAATGTACCACCGTCTGCCCCACGGAGCACACCTGAACAAATGTACCACATTCTGAGACACGGAGCACACCTGAACAAATGTACCACCTTCTGAGACACGGAGCACACCTGAACAAATGTACCACATTCTGAGACACGGAGCACACCTGAACAAATGTACCACATTCTGGCCCACGGAGCACACCTGAACAAATGTACCACATTCGGGGCCATGGAGCACACCAGAATAAACAGAATAGGAATCACATGGTGTTCTCAGTCCACAATGGCACTAAACTAGGAAACAGTACAGAGGGAGCTGGCATTATTGCACAATGGGTTAAGCTGCTGCCCACGATGCCACTATTCCACACGAGTGCTGGTCCTCTTCTGATCCAGCTCCCTGCTCATGTGCCTGGTACAGCAGCACATGGGAGACTTGAATGGAGTTCCAGGCTGCAGGCTTCAGCCTGTCACAGCCTGACCATTGCAAATATTTGGCAAGTGAACCAGCAGATTACAAAATACCTCTTCCCCCTCAATCCTTCCCACCTATTCCCTCTAACTCTACCTTTCAAATAAATAAATAAGTAAATATTTTTTAAAAGTAGAGCAGAAACCATTGAAATTGGAAATAGGAAGACAATAGAGAAAATCACTTAAACCATAAGCTGATTCTTTGAAAAGATCAATAAAATAAATTTCCAGTCAAGCTAACTAGAAAAAAAAACACAAATCATTATACCAGAAATTAAAGAGAATATGAGTTTCCATACCCCATGGTCTTTAAAAAGTTAATAATGGGGGGGGGTAGCGCTATGTCATAGCAGGTAAAGCCGCCGCCTGTAGTGCCTGCATCCAATATGGATGCCAGTTCAAGTCCTAGCTGCTCTACTTCCAATCCAGCTCTCTGCTATGGCCTGGGAAAGCAGTAGAAGATGGCCCAAGTCCTTGGGCCCCTGCACCTGAGTGGGAGACCCGGAAGAAGCTCCTGGCTCCTAGCTTCGTACCAGCACAGCTCTGGCTGTTGCAGCCAATTGGGGAGTAAATCAGCAGATGGAAGACCTCTCTCTCTCTTGCTCTATGTAACTCTGACTTTCAAATAAATAAATACATCATAAAAATTTAAAGGAATATTATGAAGAAATCTTTACCCACAAGTTTGATAACCTAGATCTAATGGACCAATTCCTTGTAAGAGACAATCTGCTAAAACTCACACAGGTAAAATAGACAATCGGAATAGACCTATGTCTATCAAATTAACTGAACTGTAACTAATAACTTTTTTTTTTTTGACAGGCAGAGTGGACAGTGAGAGAGAGAGACAGAGAGAAAGGTCTTCCTTTGCTGTTGGTTCACCCTCCAATGGCCGCAGCTGGCGCGCTGCGGCCGGCGCACCGCGCTGATCCGATGGCAGGAGCCAGGAGCCAGGTGCTTCTCCTGGTCTCCCACGGGGTGCAGGGCCCAAGCACTTGGGCCATCCTCCACTGCACTCCCTGGCCACAGCAGAGGGCTGGCCTGGAAGAGGGGCAACTGGGACAGAATCCGGCGCCCCGACCGGGACTAGAACCCGGTGTGCCGGCGCCGCTAGGTGGAGGATTAGCCAAGTGAGCTGCGGCGCCGGCCACTAATAACTTTTTTTGAAAGATTTATTTGAAAGCCAGAGTTACACAGAGGGGGAGGGGGAGGGGGAGAGGGAGAGGGAGAGGGAGAGGGAATGAATGAATATGAGTGTCTTCCATCTGTTGGCTCACTCCCCAATTGGCCTCAATGGCCAGAGCTGCACCAATCCAAAGCCAGGAGGCAGGAGCTTCTTCCAGGTCTCTCAAATGGGTTCAGGGTCCCAAGCGCTTGGGCCATCTTCTACTGCCTTCCCAGGCCATAGCAGAGAGCTGGATGGGAAGTGGAACAGCCAGGTCTTGAACTGATGCCCATATGGGATGCCAGTACTGCAGGCGGTGGCTTTACCCACTATGCCATCATGCTAGCCCCACTAATATCTTTCAAAACAGAAAGCACCAGGCCCAAATTTTCATTTTTCATTTATTTGAAAGGCAGAATGACAGAAAAATAGACAGAGAAACAGATCCTCTACCCACTGATTCAGTCCCCAAATGGCTACAATGGCCAGGGATGGACCAGGCTGAAGCCAGGAGCCCAGAACACCATCCAGTCTCCCATGTGGGTGGCAAGGGCTCAAGTAGTTGGGACATTCTCCACTGCTTTCCCAGGCACATTAATAGGGAGCTGCATTGGAACTGGAGCGGCCCTACTCTGACATGGGCATCCCAAGTGGCAGCTTAACCCGTGGCACCACAATGCTGGCCTCCTGTAACAAGCATTTAAGGGCAAAATTAAATTTTTCCAGTTCTCTGCAATTTCTTCCAGAAGACAGAAGCAGGCGAAATACCTGACTTTTCAACAAACATGGTGCTGGCACAACTGAGCATCTACCTAAAAAAATGAATCTAGATACAGACCTTACATCTGTCACAAAGAATACCTCAAAATGGATCATAATCCTGTAGGTCAAATGTTTGGGAAAACTACAAAACTCCTAGAAGGTAACATCGGAGCAAATCCAGGTGGTCCTGGGTTGGCAACAACTCTTAGTCCACTACGCCATAGTGCTGGGCCCAGGCGACAACTCTTTAGATACCATGCTAAAGACACAATCCAAGAACTCAACAATTAAAATAAAAAATGTCTGGGGCATTGGGCTGCCACCTACAACATCGGCATCCAGTATGGGCACAAGTTCAAATTTTGGCTGCTCCAGTTCTGCTCCAGCTCCCTGCTAATGCACCTGGGAACACAGCAGAAGATGGCCCAAGTGCTTGGGTCCCTGCACCCACATCGGAGACCTGGAAGAAGCTCCTGGCTTCAGATAGTCCCAGCTCTGGCTGTTGTAGCCATTTGGGGGAATGAACCAGAGCAGATGGGAAAATCTTTCTCTTTCTCTCCCTCTTTCTCTGTAACTCTGCCATTCAAATGAATCAATACACCTAATTACATCAATACATCTAAAAAAGAGAATGCAAAGACAAGCCACAGACTAGGGAAAAATGTTCTCAAAAGAGAGTGTGATAAAGGATTGTCACAAAAAATATACAAAGAATTCTTATAATTCATCAATAAGAAAACAACCCAATTTTAAAATGTGCAAAGCATCTGACAAGACACCTCACAGAAGAAAATATGCAAATGACAAGTAAGCATAGCGGGGCCGGCACCATGGCTCAGTAGGTTAATCCTCTGCCTGTACTGCCAGCATCCCATATGGGTGCCGGTTCAAGTCCTAGCTGCTCCCCTTCTGATCCAGCTCTCTGCTGTGGCCTGGGAAAGCAGTGGAAGATGGCTAAGAGCTTGGGCCTCTGCACCCCTATGGGAGACCTGCAGGAGGATCCTGGCTTTGGATCATCCCAGCTCCAGCCGTTGTGGCCATTTGGGAAGTGAACCAGAGGATGGAAGTCTTCTCTCTCTGTCTCTCCCTCTCACTGTCTATAACTCTACCTGTCAAATAAATTAAATAAATAAAATCTTAAAAAAAAAAACATAGGAAAAGATGTCCTACACCGTGTATCATTACAGAACTGCAAATTCAGACAACAGTGAGACACCGAAGGGACCCAGCTTGTCATGACTGCAACAATCCTGGTCATAACTGTGTCCTTCTAGGTGACCCTGGCAGTCATCCCAAAGCCCAGGGGATAAACAAAGCCATTTAGATAACCGGACGCTTTCATCTGCTACCTGGAATGTCAAATATTTCTTGAGAAACTCCAGGTGCACTCTGATTAGCCATGGACCCTGTTTTTCTTTGAAGACTGTTTTTTCCCTGCCTCGCAGCACAGGGAGCCACTGTCTTGCCCTAGAATACACACCTGCCTAAGTTGTTCCCCTCGTTCTTCCGTCTCGCAGCCTCTTCCGCCTTGGGTGGCCGGTTCTTGTGCACTGTTTTTCCAAAGCAGGTTCCATTACACACCCAGTAGAACGGCCAGCATCCGAAACACCTGCAGCATCAAATGCTGGCGAGGATGTGGAGCAACAGGGATTCTGATTCAAGGCTGGTGGGGGTCGGCGCTGTGGTGTAGTGGGCTAAGCCGCCGCCCGCAGTGCCGGCATCCCATATTGGCACCGGTTCACGTCCAGCTGCTCCTGTTCTGATCTAGGTCTCTGCTATGGCCTGGGAAGGCAATGGAAGACGGCCCAGGTGCTTGGGCCCCTGTACCCATGTGGGAGACCTGGAGGAAGCTCCTGGCTCCTGGCTTCAGATCAGCTCAGCTCTGGCACCACTGCAGCCATTTGGGGAGTGAACCAGTGGACGGAAGACCTCTCTCTCTGCCTCTCCCTCTCTCTGTCTATAACTCTACCTTTAAAATAAATAAAAATCTTAAAATAAGATAGACAGTTTCAGGGCCGGCAACGTGACATAGTGGGTAAAGCTGTCGTCTGCAGTACCAGCATCCCATATGGGTGCCGGTTCAAGTCCCGGCTGCTCCACTTCCAGTCCACCTCTCTGCTAATGACCTAGGAAAGCAGTAGAAGATGGCCCAAGTGCTTGGGCCCCTGTACTTATGTAAGAGACCTGGAAGAAGCTCCTGGTTCTTGGCTTTGGACCAGCCCAGCTCTGCCCATTGCAGCCATTCGGGGAGTGAAACAGTGGATAGAAGAGGTGTCTCTCCTTCTCAGTGTAAAACTCCACCTTTCAAATAAATAAATCTTTAAAAGTTCAGAAGTTTCTTCCAAGAGTAAATATACTCTTATCAAAAAGAAACAACCATCATGCTCCTTGATGTTTACCCAAGTGAACTGAAAACCTTTGTCCACACAAAAACCTGCACGTGGTGGGCCGGCGCTGTGGCGTAGCAGGTTAAGCTGCCAGCTGTGGTGCCGGCATCCCATGTGGGTGCTGGTTCGTGTCCCGGCTGCTCCATTTCTGATCCAGCT